TACTCAGTCTATTAAAATCATAGACTGACTGATCAAAAGTTAATCTATTGAAATCATCTATTTTCTTCAGCAAAAATGTGTCTACTATACTCAGTCTGAGATTTGTAATGTTCTCCAAGGGGTACAGGTGCACAGACCTTCCAAATATTTGGGCCTGCCCCTAGGAATTGGAAGATCCAAGAAACAGACCTTTGATTATGTGATTGATGCTGTGAGAAAAAGAGTCTCAAGTTGGAAGAACAATTTTCTGTCTCTAGCTGGTAAGGATCGAGGTGTTGATTAACTCAATTCTCAATGTTTTGCATGTGTTTACCATGTCATGCTTTGCATTGCCTAAGTCTGTTTGCCAGGAAATTGCCAAGATTTGTGCTAAATTTTGGTGGGGAAATGGCAGTGAGCATTCAACTAGTATTCACTGGAAAACTTGGCAGGTTGTCAATCTCCCTAAGAGGTATAGGATTTCATGATCTCCAATTGTTTAAAGATGCCCTAATTCTTAAGCAGTTGTGGAGAATTGCTTCTATGCCCAATTTGCTGGTTAGTAAGTTCTTAAAGAGTAAATACTTCTCAACTGGTTGCATTTTCAAGGCTGGAGTCACCCAAAGTGCTTCTTAGTTATGGACCACATGGATGAAGGTTAAAGAAAGATATAAGCACTGCTTCAAGATTCAAATTGGGGATGGACTGACTACTCACATTTGGCAAGATCCTTGGATTTGCAACTGTAGTTCAAGTTGTCCCCAAAGAGATGTATCTACCAACACTGAGATTCAACGGGTTTGGGAGCTATTGGAAGCAGGTGGCAGAAGCTGGAATTCAACTCTTGTGAAGCAGATGTTTAATGAGACATACAGTGCAAACATTCTCAAAATAAAAGGCCTCAATCCAGATGTCAAAGACAAATGGGTTTGGATGGATGATGCAAAGAATGACTTTTCTGTAGCAAGAGCTTATTCTAAACTGGTGAAGGAAAAATTTAGGAAGCTTGATGTGGCTGAAAGCTCGATATTTCCTCACCGAGTTCGCAAGTATATACATCACATAATACTGCAACACGGCACACTGAGAGTGTACCAGTGCAGACAGTGCCTCGTCGCAGTGGGAGAGTTTCTCATTTACCCGACCGATGGATAGGTCTTGGAGAGTCATCGGACTCAGTTCCAGGAGGCCTAGAATCGGACCCAAGAACTTACGATGAGGCACTCCAAGATAAAGATGCAGATTCATGGAATTTTACAATGAAAGCTGAAATGGGGTCAATTGACTCCAATCAGGTCTGGGATCTTGTAGAACCACCCGATGGGGTACGACCCATTGGATGTAAGTGGATCTATAGGAGAAAGAGAGGATTGTATGGGAAGGTGCAAACCTTCAAAGCTAGGTTTGTTGCAAAAGGTTATACCCAGATCGAGGGTATTGATTATGATGAGACCTTTTCGCCAGTTGCTATGCTTACGTCTATTCGGATTCTCTTGGCTGTAACCGCTCATGTGGACTATGAGGTCTGGCAGATGGATGTCAAGACAACTTTCCTTAATGGGAATCTGCAGGAAGACATCTATATGCACCAACCAGAGGGATTCATTGCTGAAGGTCATGAGCATCTAGTGTGTAAGTTTAATCGGTCTATTTATGGACTGAAGCAAGCTTCGAGATCTTGGAACATCCATTTTGATGAGGTGATCCAGTCGTACGGGTTCACTCAATGTCCGGATGAGCATTGCGTTTACAAGAAATCAGTGGGAGCGTGGTGGTGTTTCTTGTGCTTTACGTAGATGGCATACTGCTTATTGAAAACAGTAAGAAGGAGTTAACAGACGTAAAGGTGTGGTTGTCTAAGCAGTTTGATATGAAGGACTTAGGTGAAGCAGGACACATTCTTGGTATTAGGCTCATTCGAGACAGTAAGAAGAGAATGATGTGTTTATCCCAGTCTTCATACATAGAAACTGTCTTGGCCAGATTCAGCATGCAGGATTCTAAGAAAGGTGAGTTACCTTTCAGACATGGAATACCTCTATCTAAGGAGATGTCTCCTAAGACGTCTAAGGAGATAGAGGAGATGAAGACAGTTTCTTATGCTTCGGCAGTAGGAAGTCTCATGCATGCAATGCTGTGCACTAGGCCAGATATTAGCTATGCCGTTGGCATGGTAGCTATCAAAGTAATCCGGGATAGGAACATTGGTCTGCGATGAAGCATAATTACTCAAGTACCTGAGGAAGACTAAGGAATACATCGTGTAGATAGCTTGTTACCTCTGGGTTCCAGTGATTCCGATTTCCAGTTAGATAGGGATGAATGTAAGTCAACCTCAGGTTATGTGTTTACCTTTGGAAGTGGAGGCATTTTATGGACAAGTGCTAAGTAGAAATGCGTGGCAGACTCCACCATGGAAGCTGAGTACATAGCAGCCTCAGAGGCAGCGAAAGAGGCAGTTTGGCTCAGGAACTTTTTAGTGGACTTAGAGGTTATACTGAGTTTGCCAAGTGGTATCACTGTGTACTGTGATAACAGTGGAGCAGTAGCAAACTCAAAAGAACCTCGCGCCCACAGGGCAAGCAAACACATAGAGCGCAAATACCATCTGATTCGGGATATTGTTGGTAGAGAAGATGTTGATGTTGTCAAGATTACATCAGAGGACAACCTAGCTGGTCCTTTCACGAAGAGTTTTCCGGGGAAGGTCTTCGTCAAACACGTGGAAGGAATGGGAGTCATGAGCATGGCAACAGGATCGACATAGGTCTTTTAGAATAACGGATTGATAGGACTATACTGTAAAAGCGAAAGCTTTAAGTATAAGTGGGAGAATGTTAGTGTTATATACTGAAATCTTGGCTTTGCATGTTATCACACAATTGCTCTGTATGAATGAGAATCATGTTAGATATTAAACAGGCAGATATATATAGTTTATATTACTTTGATTCACTTGGGTGAGGTTCAATTCGCTGGATCAATATTCCTACTGTTTTGCACTTGGGTGAGGTTCAGTTCGCTGGATCAATATTCCTACTGTTTTGGGTAATATTATTATATATAGGATGTGTTGTTAGGATATTTGTGGTCACCATGTGCATTAGTTTGATAATGTCCCTGGAGTGAGTTCATGAAGGATTGTTATGCTAAACCCTGCAAGTGGATTAAGTTCCGGCATAATAAGAATGTGATGAACGAGCGCTAGCTTCGGGGAAATAATAATAAATTAATTAATTCTTGATTGTTAGTAATCGAATTAATTAATGGACATTATATCTTAAACGTTGGGAGGTAAATTTGGTAATTATTATTGGAGTCTCAAATGTAATTTGGGCTAGGAAAAGGGAGTGCAATGATATAATGTTGGTGGCCCATTAATATTATTTAATTAATTAGAGGAGTGGGCTTGGCCCACAGTTAGTCTAATTAATTAAGGAGCCCTATTCCTAATCTCCTAAGGGTCCCTACTGTAGCTCTATATATACATCATTAAGCTCATAAAAAGAGAAGAAATCTGTTCATTATACACAAACACTCCCCACGCCTCTCTCTCTCTCTCTAGATCTCTCTCTAGATCTCATTCGAGCTTTATCTTCTTCTGGTTGCTCCACTGGTACAAGTTGAAGAAGGGTGTATTGAGTAATACGGTAGAAGATCTGTAGATAAAACGAGACGAAATATATTCTATCCTACAAAACTAACTGGAGGTCTGATTGAAGAACGGAGCATACCTAGACGACCGTCTCGATGTCAGCTTTCAGCCACTGCCGAGATCGTCGTCGTCCGCCGCCGCACGCGCCGGAAGCTCCCTGACTGCAAGATTCGTCTTCATCTGTTTCCACCCGTTTGATCCGGTTTTGATCTGATCTTGTTCGTGCAACCCAAGACGTGATTTACGGTCATCCGTTCGTGGCCAACCAGATCTACATAAATTTTAAGCCGTAAGTTTTCTACGTCAAACCTTTAGATCCGCTGCGCAAAGGTTTACGTTTGTAATTGAATTCGTGTCTTATACATAACGAGATCCTCACAGATCCCAATATTGAGCACATCTTCTTTCATTGCAGCAAAGCCAAAGAAGTGTGGAAAGCAGCTCCAGTCCAGTGGGACTTAAATTTAAGCTCAGTTACTAAGTTAAGAACCTGGTGGGGAGATGTGTGCTCAGTCAACAAGCTGGAGGTGTCAGAGGCAAGAAAAGAACTAACCATATACATCTTATGGTGGTTATAAAAGGCAAGAAACTTATGGGTCTTCAAGAAGGAGTGGATGCATGCTTTGTCTGTTGTCAAAATGGCACACAGTGAATGGCAGGAATTTGCTTGTAGAAGAAGGGTCTTAGTTTTGATTCTTCTTTTGTGGCTTGAATTTGTGTTTCTTCTGTATTTTGGTTGTGCTTCCTCAGTTTGTCTGTTTTTGTTGTATTTTGGGTCTTCCATCTTTTTCTTCTTTATGTTGGATTCTAGATGATGCACTAAGAGGCTAGTTTGTATGTCTCTGTGATAGCCTTGTGCTTGAGCAACACTAAGGGTGACAGACCCTTTTGGCTGGCCTTAGTGTGTGCAGGTTCATAGGTTTTGTCATAGAGTTTTAGTTTTTTTTCATTTGTTGTTGTTTTAGAGCACTCGTGTGAGGGTGTCTCTCCTTATTAGAGTCAGTTGACTCTCGGTTTGTATTTTGTGTACATTGGTGTTATAATATCATCTATCGTTTCGGAAAAAAAAAATATTAATATTTCTAGTATTAATAAATTAATTATTATATAATAAAATGCAAATCATAAATGTGACCGATTAGATTGAGGGAGGGTTGAAAACTAAAGAGGGAGAGACATTAGGTTCCCTTCCCCTATGTGATAGATATTAAATCATTTCATCATGGCTCATATGAGATGTTTTTTCTTCTTATATATTTTGTTTTAATATCTTTCTTTATAGCTTGTGTTATTGGCAACTAGAGAAGACAATACTTACAGAATCAAGAACTTTAATAAATGTCCCTCCCATGTTACCTCTTCTACNTTTAAATACATAAATAGAACAATTTTGCTTTGCTAAAGCACACTTCCAAATTTGAACTTGAAGAAATATTATCCTTTCTGAGAAATTGTTGAGAGGAACAAATGAAATGAGGGTTTTGTATTTGGTGGCTGTACCCATTTGGTTTTTTAGCTGCCCTCTATTTTCTTCCTCGGTTCATCCCCCTTTGGGCAATCCCATTTTTGACAATGGTCAAGGTTCTGCCAACTCAATAGCTCATTCTCCAGGTATCCTCTTTTCATTCTTTTTTCTATTTTGTGGTTGTGTGTATGAGAACGAGAGAGAGAGAGAGAGAGAGAGAGAGAAATGGTGGCTCTGGGATTTAGATTCAGTTGTGGTGATGTTTGATTGGCACTGTTTGTTTCTTATGAAATCTTTTGGCATCTTATTGGGATTTTAAATATGCGCGTTTGGAATTATTGCTTTTTGTTGTTATATCGCCTTATTACCATATTGTCTTTGATTACCTTTCACAGAACATCATTCTTAGATTGATGTTCGTTTATTTACTTTATTTTCCTTATTGTACATTTGAACAACGAACATATTGGGTTTTCACTTTGATTTGTGTGTGTCTCATTTATTCCTTGTTTTCTGATGGGGTTAGATATGATTACATATTTTTTACCTTTCATTTATGTTATATTTTTCCATTGTAACTGTTTTCTTTAATTGAAGCTAATTCATGTTCCTTTATTTTCTATAATAATAATAATAAATAAATAAATAATCCAAAGTTGCAGAGATCAAAGTAGTCCACCACCATGATTTAAGCAAGAAAGTTCTTGTTCCTGTTGTTGTGGCCTCATCTCTTGTGGGTGGAATTTTGCTGCTATTATCTTGTTTTACTATCTACAGACTGAAAAGGCTAAGAACATACAGTAATGCCACAAATGATATAAACTCAGGTTATTTTTCTATCTATAAAAATTAATTCTCTATCTCACTGTCTCTCTCCCTCTCCCTGTATCTCTATATATCATTTGTTAATTTATCAATATTTAAATTATGAATTTTACAGGTTCCGCTAAAGGGATATCACTAATTCCATTCCCGGATAACTATCGTTATTCGAAATTTGGTAGCAAAAAGGGTTCAGTTGCTTCTATTGATTACCAGATGCTAGTGATTGCCACAAATAATTTCGACGAAGGGAAATTGTTAGGAGAAGGCGGATTAGGCCGCGTGTATAAGGCTTGTTTTAGTGATAATTTTGAAGCAGCAGTTAAGAAAATATGTGCTGATTGGCAAGAAGCTCAAAGACAGTATGAGGTAACGTTTAGGTAGTATGTGGCAGAAATTGAATGTATATATATTTCTCTGATTTATTTTTTCATCTCCCAGATTTTTTATATTTCTCAAATGATTTCTTTCTCGAAAATTGCAGAATGAGGTCCAAATACTGAGTAAAATTCAGCATCAGAATATAGTTTCTCTATTAGGATATTGCGTGCATGAACAACAACGGTTCTTGATTTATGAAATGATGGAGGGTGGCTCGCTGGATTTAATTTTGCACGGTATATAATTCATTTCTATGTGTTGTTAGGCTGAAATAAATATATGGATAGTTACCGTAAATACCCTTGAGTTTGAGCAGAAGNGTGCTATTATTTATATCTTATTTCACAAATTATTTGCCTGCAAGAATGATGGACTTGTAAATGAAGGCAGACCTTAGGGGAGATTTTTTTAACTTCGAAGTGAACTTGTGCTTTTTGTTTGTGTGTGTTAATTTCATCATTCTTGAGATTATTCTAATGATCTTTTCATCATTTTTTCCCGCTTATTTTTTCTCAGCACCTTCTCGTAGATCGACATTGACGTGGCCACTTAGAATGAAAATTGCTCTTGATGTTGCAAGGTATTGTCCAGATTACTATTTATGAAGCTTCTTGCAGAAACTACCTATGAATTATATCTTTAATCACAAAAAAGAGATAGTCATCTTTCACAATTGCTAGTACCCCTCGTGGTATTTAGATTTATTTTATTTACCATTTTCCACTGATTACTCTCTTTTTACTATTTTTCACTCATTACTCTCTTTACTTACTCTCTTTACATGACACGGTTCTTACTCAAGAAACATGCCAAGTAGATTTAAATTATAATCATTGTTCTTTTCTAATGGTAATCAACCTAAGCCTGAAGGTATAATATTTTTAATTATCTGATTTTTAAATCAGAGGATTAGAGCACCTGCATGAGCATTGTGACCCGCCCGTGATTCATAGAGATCTCAAGTCATCTAATATTCTTCTCGACTCCAACTTCAATGCCAAGGTAATAACATTACTGAAAAAAAAAAACACTCACAATCCATTTAACTAATAATTTGTTAAGCTCATTTTTTTTGGCCTTTTGTTGTTAGATTTCAGATTTTGGCCTTGCGATCACTGAAGGGAACTCAATCAAGACGAACATTAAGCTCACGGGAACATTGGGTTATGTAGCCCCAGAGTACCTATTAGATGGTAAGTGGTTTACTATTAGAAAGACTATTTTATTTTATTTTTTTTTATTTTTTTTTTTTTTGTTAAAGCATCTTATTGGCCATTGGTAAAGGAGGAGGGTTGTGATAGGCTTGGCGAGCCAACGTAAAACTTAGCCGTTCTATGAAGATGAAACATCTTATTAGCCATTAATTGTTTATGAATGTTGATCAGGTAAACTTACTGACAAAAGTGACGTATATGCCTTTGGTGTGATTCTTTTGGAGCTTTTGATGGGAAGACGGCCTGTGGAGAAAGTAGAATCACAATGTCAATCTATAGTTACCTGGGTAAAATAATCATTTTTTTTTTTAATTTGTGAATGTATATTTTACTTTTTCTTAAATTTCCAATTGTCACTCTTTATTCTGAATAAAATCAGGCGACCCCTCAGCTCATGGACAAATCAAAGCTTCCGGACATTGTCGACCAATCCATCAAAGACACTATTGATTTGAAACATTTATATCAAGTGAGTCGTGAATTCAGTTAAATTTAAAATAGTATTTCAAAAGGGTTTGTTACAAAAATTCCTCTGAGGCTGGTACTTAGTTAACTAACTAAAACATCAAAGCATCAAAGTATCAAAGATTTACTTTTGATGACATTTGCAGAAAATGAGAACACGAGAAAGCTTTTTCTTTTCCACAACATTTTCTTAAATTTTATTTTATTTTATTTTATAGGTGGCTGCTATAGCAGTGCTATGTGTACAACCAGAGGCAAGTTACAGACCACTTATAGCAGACGTTTTGCACTCGTTCATACCCCTTGTGCCTGTCCAATTTGGTGGATCTCTCAAAGGTTGATGTATTTCTGTTCGTAGCTTCAATTTGTTTTCACTCGTAAAATGTTTTGGTATTAAGAGAACTAGTTGAAGAAGCATATTTTATACGAAACCACATTACAGATTGATAGAAAATTAAGGTGTTGATTTTGCTCATACTTGTAAATTTTACAGTTTCACATACAAAAAAAGGTTTTGTTTTTGGGTCATGTTTATTCGTTGCACTGTATTTGAGCTTGATTGTGTGTTGTTGGTGTTTGTGTTTCTGAATGTTCGAATGATTGTAATACTGTGAAAATTGTTCCAACTAACTGAATCCATATGTGTTTTAAAAATAACGGTGAAATTGCAGCTCCAATCATGACTTTCAGTTTTTCACGATTTTAACCAAATTTTTAACTAATTGCAAAATAAACACAAACTTAGAGCATCTTAGTTTTGAGTGAGGTTTAAAAACTCAAACCTAACTTTTGGTATTATAGTAGGTAGCTTTGAGGTTTTGTGAAGACAAACTTGGTTTGTGAAGACAAACCTGCAAAAGTGAGAGAAAAAAAAAATAAAAAAATAAAAAAAATTGAGAAGTAGTAGAGCGTGTAAAGCAGATGTATTGTTTGAGGTGTGAATGGGCTCCTACATGCTCTATATGCGCGTGAAGGGGTGGGGTCTGCCCACTTTACACCTTCTTTTTTTGCTTTTTAAAATTTATTTTGCAATTAAAATTAAAATTAAAACATTTTACTCCTTTTTATTTATTTTAGGATAAAAAAGTAAAAAAGCAAGGTTATATTATTGAAAAAAAGTAAAAAAGCAAGGCCACATACATTTTACTTTTGAAATTATATCACAATCTTTAATTTGTTGCAAACAGTATGGAAACAGTCATAGAAAAGCTGATGTGGTCGAACAACAAACTGAAGATTGTGATATAATTTGCACGGGATATGCAAATCGGTGCACCAGTTTACAACAAACTGAAGATTATGATATAATTTGCAAAAGTGATATAGTCGTGATTAAATTGCAATTTTGAAAAAGGTCATGATATTAAGGGCANCTTCATCACCAAATATATATATATATATATATATATTATATATAGGATGAGGTTCAAATGAGAACCCACCCCTAGTGTGAGAACTAGAAACCCATCATGTCCTTTGATTACATAAGTATAAACGGTCATGATTATTTGATATATTTTTATAGAATATAATGATCAATTATGTATGTCTATTATTGTCAAAACCATTGTTATTAATTAGGGAAATGATTTGGATCTTTTCTCCGATTGGTAAGAATTACTCAGATTTCTTTTTTACCACAATCACCCACTTTAGTTGTTTTACTGTATTTTTTACTTCATTCAAATAAAAAAGGATCACTTTGTAGAAGTTTTATCATCAAAGCCTGATTATTAATGGGTATTCTACCTAAAATTGATGTTTCTGATGCTAAAAAGACATGAATGTGTGTGTTGAACTAAAATATTTATATTACCCACAAAACTAGAAAAATTGAAGGCATAGAAAAAATCAAATAAATTAGCAATATATAGAATATATCTTAGCAACAAAAAAGGCACAAAAAAATTCTGTTGGTATAAAAATATAGTCTTTACACCACATGAGTGATTATTCATAATTTATTTTATATGGTATCTACATCACCCTATTTCTGGTAGCACTAATATATTATATATAAATCCATTTGCAAATAATAAGCTTGTTGTAAAGTATTTCTTAAAATTCAAATCAAGAATAAAGAAGAACATGTGTTATTGTTGATGTAGTCTATCAGCAAAATAGCATCACATTCTTGTAAACATAGCATCATACTTTGTACAACATAGCACACATATGCTGCTAAAAAATGATGTTGTTCCTCCTCATTATCAGAATAGTCACTATCCGACTCATCTCCACTCCCATCAATATTACTTTCATATGTTCCATGACCACCCACATTTTCAATGTCTGGGTCATTTGCTACATATGGTTCTCCGTAACGCTCGTAGTTTGCCATTGAATCACCTTGCAAAAAAGTAGGAACAACATGTGTTCAAGAACAATAATAAAGTTCATTGCTTCATGTAGGGAAAAAACTAGCACATCTCAACACAAAAGATATCAAATACTACTTTTTTTTATAGTAGAGGTGAAACTAATACATGAAGCCAACATTATTTTGAATAAATAAACATAAAGTATTATAAAATGGAACACATGTATTATATATCAATATCACAAAAATAACATAGAACGTTCATCTATTAATAATAGCCCGGATTTATTAAACAAAAAGCAACACTAGCAACAAGATGACATAACATTAGCCCGGATTTAAGCACAAATTTCATTTAAAATAATAACTTGCAACAAGTTGATATAAAATTAGCACAATACAATGCATAAGATAGCACATTCTATAGAATAAGACTACTAGCATTTCTATACATCATGGCAGCAAAAAACATTCTCTGAAACTCTTTTGGAATGTAAAAGTGAAAAGCAATTGTGGCTCTATTTAGATACACTCCCAAAATTTAAACCATCCAACTATTATAATTCGTCAGTAGGTTGCTAATTATAATTCTTCTCCAAAATCATTGTAACTATATGCGATTTTCATATTCCAGTTTCACATTGGCACATGTGGGGACCGTGGGGTAATGCTTCATTGCTCTTTCAAACTACTTATTTTAGAGTATCATAATCCTCAAAATAGCCCATATTTAATAAAAAAAAAAAGCAACATTTAGAAAAAAAATATGATACATCTCAATATATGTCTTTTATTATTTTCATTTTGGGCTAATTTACCTATTTCTAAAGTATAAAGTTTATTTGAATAACAACTTGCAACAAATTGAAAAAACATTAGCACAAATAAATCAACTATGTTAGCGTCACTCTCAATGAACATACTAAAATCATATCTTCTCACAACAGTTGCAGCTTAAAGGAAGCATTGTGTTATTCTAAAATGAAGTTTTATTTCTTGAATTTCTAAGGGTTCAATAAGAAAAAAATTACTAAACTTTAAACACTAATGGAAAATGTAAAAAAAAAAAAAAACGAAAAAAAAAAGCAAAAGTAAAAGTTGCATCTTTCACGCGTCCGCCGTTCTACCAATTGTTCAGAGCACTTTGTTCACACTGTTCTTTGATACACCACGCCACATACAACAACACACTTTACAATCAATCAACCAAATACTCTCGAGGTAAAATGGCTCATGGTGCGGTGAAATTTCTGTTCGAAAACTTGTCGCGGGTGCACTCGTCACGCGATTTATTATGGAGGCTATTTTATTATTTTCTTTTTGGCAATCGGAGTAGTAAAGATGCATCAGGATTTTTTTAGCCATATTGTTTTGCTAGGTTGATAAGAGTTTCCTTCTATGTGACTATTCAGTTTCCAAAAATCTGGACTTCCCATAATAAATGGATTCTCCAAAGTCTATTGTTCCTAATTTACCCTCCATCTATTAATTAATTGGTCATTGTAATTTTGTTGCTACTATAAAAACGTCTAATCCACTCCGTCAAATTACTACAATCAAAGGTTGATATCAGTTCTTAGTTCTCACACTAGGAGGGGTTCTTATTAGAACCCTTCCCTATATATATATATATATATACACGAAATGGATAATAATCTATACAGATCCTACCCAAATATGTCGAACTCATTGGAGGATGACAGTCTGTCTTCCATAAATTCACGGTACACATGAAATATGTAATTTTCTCAATTTCCTAGAATGCAACTACAATCCCAGTTTCAAAATTTTCCTTTTCAAGTACCTGCACCAATGCCTTCTTATCCAAATTCACAAACTTCAGAGCAACCTTCTTTTCCGCCATCACCAAATTTAATGACCATGAATCAATCTCATTATATGTGGTCAATGCCGCCGCAATATGGCATTCCAAATGCATTTGGGATGCCTTATCAACAAGGAAATTTTATGCCAACTGGATTCTCTAGTAGCCCCATTGAAGTCCCAAGACCTTCCATGATCCCGGAGGTTAAAGGACTCGACAACACTTTCCTCGATACGGATTCAGAAAAAACCAAAGAAGTTGAGCCTAAAAGACGGGGTAAAGCAACAACAATACCGTGGACACATGATGAGGATGTTTTACTATGTCGAGCTTTCTGTACCATCTCAAGTGATCCAGTCATTGGCGCTCAACAAACGTCCAAAGGTTTTTGGAGGCAAATTATACAGTATTATAATGAAGCTGGTAAAGCACGAAACCTCATTCAGAGAACTATGGAGTCAGCAAAATCTCATTTTTATGCTTTCCATGGAGACTGCCTCAAATTTAATGCATCAAAAAACAAGTTTCGGGCTGATCAAAGAAGTGGTGAAAATGAAGCAATTGTTTTGCAGAATGCACTTTGGAGTGGAATAGCGAGGGAAAAAAGAAAGGGGGCTTTAAATGGCTTCATTGCTGGGAGGTATTGAAAAATAATGCCAAATTTGATGGGGCATCTCAGACATCCCGAGGAGGAAAGAAAGCTAGAATATTTGATACTGGAGATCACACTTCCCAGAGCCAGAAGTATGATCTCCAGTATCAAATATCCTAGCTTTCTTTCCTCCTCGGGATGTCTGAGATGTCCCATCAAATTTGGCATTATTTTTCAATACCTCTCAGCAATGAAGCCATTTGAAGCCCCCTTTATTTTTCCCCTCGCTATTCCACTCCATTAGTGCATTCGGCAAAACAATTGCATCATTTTCACCACTTCTTTGATCAGCCCGAAACATGTTTATTGACTCATTAAAGTTGAGGCAGTGTCCATGGAAAGCATAAAAATGAGATTTTTCTGACTCCATAGTTCTCTGAATGAGGTTTCGTGCATCACCAGCTTCATTATAATACTATATAATTCGCCTCCGAAAACCTTCAGACGTTTGTTGAGCGTCAATGATCGGATCACTTGAGATGGTACAGAAAGCTCGACATTGTAAAACATCCTCATCATGTGTCCACGGTATTGCTGTTGCTTTACCCCGTCTTTTAGGCTCAACTTCTTTAGTTTTTTCTGAATCCGTATGGAGGAAAATGTTGTCGAGTCCTTCAACCTCCGGGATCATGGAAGGTCTTGGGACTTCAATGGGGCTACTAGAGAATCCAGTCGGCATAAAATTTCCTTGTTAATAAGGCATCCCAAATGCATTCGGAATGCCATATTGCGGCAGCATTGACCACATATACTGAGATTGATTCATGGCCATTAAATTTGGTGATGGGGGA